GTACTGGTGCAAAAGCAGGCGGAAGGGTCTACTCATATTCTTCCATGTTGATTCAGATTGGAATACGTGAAGCACATGGGCTCAGATAAGTCTGTGAACAACTGAGACATTTTCTAACGTAAGATTTTCTTGCTATTAGTTATAGAAGAAATATGGCTGGATTAATTATACTAAGTACATTGTAGAGACATCATTTTGATAAGTGTTTTGATAGAAAGGGAGCTGATATCACAATTCTGAGATTGTTGGAACCAGCCACTTCTATCTTACCAACTTGAGCAAAGACCAAAGAAATCACATGGAGCTCTCCAGAAAAGAACCAGTGATAGTGCCCAGGGACCTTTGTGTTATCCTGATTTCTAAAATTAGTGGTAAAAACTATGGACACTTGGTTTAAAAGATAACTTCCCAAGTTTTTTATCAACTTTTAGCTGTTAAATAACTTCTGAAAGAGTTTGACTTCATCTATCTCGTGGGAAAGACAAAGAAATGTGAGAAAATATTTTGAGAGTTGTGGCCAGAGCATCTTATTTGCATGCAGGTCTCCATTTTTTTAAAGCATCAGATAGTGGATAATGTGAAAGGCCTCTGCTTGAGACCCCGCAAAGCAGCTGCTAGTCAGAGCACACGATAGTGACCCTGGTAGACAAACAATATGACTCAATACAAGGCAGCTTGGTGTGCTCTACTATGGACAAAACCATACAGATATAACTGGGTGAGTCTGCAAACTCGACTTGGTGTAAAACTAACTGGAACCCAACCCAGGAAGAACCTACAAACAAAAATTAGTTCTGGGCACCATAGTTGTACCACAGCATGACAGGGCAGCAAAGGTGAGTTTTGCTGTTGCAAAGACATTTAAAACACCAGTAGCATGGAAGGTCATTCCATATTATTTTTGTGGTGTGGCATCACGGGGGGAGGGGGAAGCAGTTTGCTTCTATGTGTTTGGGCATGCATTTGGGGGGGGGGGAGGGGGTTGGAACCAGTGGAGGACAATTTGTCAGCCATTCCCCTTTTCCTGCTGCAGCTCAATTTCTCCGACCCTATGCTATCCCTCAAGAGCAGCATTTGTGAGAACATTTGGGGCTGCGGCAGAAGGTGGAAAGGTCATCCTCCTGCTGACAAAAATCTCTTCCAATGGTGGAAATCTCCACTGGATCCAATCCTATGTGGTATCCTTGACTAAGGACTGGTAAAGAACCCCTGAGATAGACACCAATGAAAAGAGAGTCACAGACATCAATGGCTAGATTCCACTGGCACCTTAGAGACCAGCAAGAGTTTCAAGGCAGAAGCTTCGGAGAGTCCAAAGCTCCCTTTCTCAGACAGATTGGTTGGTCAGTTGTGGACTTGTGGTCTTTCTGTAATGCAAGAGATATTTGCTAGACATGCCCAGAATATCAAGCTAGGTATCAAGGATAAATTTGGCCTTATTTGTTTATGTTTCAATGGCTACTTTATAAGTTAGTTTAATTTGGAAGAGAAACAGCTGCAATGTGTTTGCAGCTCCTCCTTTGTTAGTCTAATGTGTTCAAGAAGTATCTAACAAGCATTTGTGGGAAGCAACAGCTGCCCTTTCTCCAAAACAGCCTCTTGTATTAATTCTGTGGGATGTTTACAAGACCAGATAAAATATTGTTCACTAAACAGCCGGGGCTCCTCCTGCCTGGGGGAGCATTTCTGAAGACACCCATAATGTGGCCTGTGTCAGCTCAGCGTAACCTGAAGTGTAACTTTATGAATCAGAGAGGCACGTCATCTCTGGCAGTGGCAAATTAGCAAGAGGCAGCAGTGGAATGAACTTGATAAGCCAGAGAAATCCCTTGGGTCTTACACTTGCGCACAATACATGAGCTCACACCCCTTTGTACTCTGCAGTTCATCAGGCTCCCAAAAGTACTTTTAGCTGTTAAATAATCCATCCTTCCACTCAGCTTTCATGCTTGCAATCAGCAACAGCTAGGTCTTACTTTGTAAACGAAAGGTTTGGGGGGCCTCTTTTCTCTCTCGGGGAGGGGCCTTGGCTCAGTGATAAAGCATCTGGGGTCTCAGGTTCAGTCCCTGGCATCTCCAGTTTTAAAAAAAGGAAACAGGTCACAGGTGATGAGAAAGGCCTCTGCCCAAGGCCCTGGAGAACCCTGATGGATTCATGGTCTTAGATAGCCTCTGTGTTTTCATATAATCCTGTGGATGGCATGCCATATGAGCCAGTCAAGTCTGCAGTGACTTGACTGCACTGACAGGGGTAGTTTTTTTTCTGGATGCAGAGCTCATTTGGAAACAGGATTTTGCAGTGCATATAACCTGCAGTCTGCAGCGCAACACAAATCAGATGTGCCAGAACCGCACAGCGGAACAGTGAGAGTGCTTGTTAGAAGCCTGCGGGGTCCAACTTCAAATTCAAATGCAGCCATACGCTTGCTGGTTGGGTAGCATTGGGTAAATTATTGTCTCTTAGCCTCAATTCCCATTTACAAAATACACCTCTTTCTTCATTCATCTGTAATAACAATGACATTTGTGAGGATGAAAAGATTGTGATTTGTACAGCAGTCTGAACACAAACAATCCTATATAAATGCTTTTAAAAACATAATGTGGACTAGACTCCCCAGTTCTGACATGAACATGCTGACCAAGCACCAACCATTACTCTTTAGGCACCATGACTGCAATGTCTGAAAGACACTGGGAAATAATCCATTTGTTTTAATAATTGTACCATTAACTGTGTATTAAGAATGCCACAGGAACCCTTTCATCTGTTTGCACTATAGCATATTATACAACCAAACGGCTTAATGTGAATCTTATATTGCCTGCCTTCTTGAAACATTATTCAGATTATGGCTGCACTTTCCAGTGGCTGGTTCCCACATTACACAGCTGGAATGGAATTTCTGTGTGTAGCACACATCTGTCAAAAGAGCCTGAGCTCATTGCTATGCACATGGGAGGGGAGGGGCTTTTCCTATGTTTTGGAGAATTGGATCCTACTGCCCTGACATTCCTTCCCCCCCTCCCTGTTGTCAATATGGAGCAGACAGCTTCCACTGTTCTAGTGCTGTCAATAGCCAAGACCAACTTCCTGGTTAGGCAGCATTCAAGACAACATATATGTTATAGTTTCAAAACAGCTAAGCAACTTCCCAAATCACTAGAAAACGTCTTAATGAATGTATCTGCTGGAGTGTTTCAAGACTGCAAAAACCTTCGGGCTCACCTGGTACATAAAAGCAGATGAGCATGAAAATGAAGAGCATTTCCCTGTATGAGATGTATAAAATCCATTTGTACTCTATCTCACGTTAACAATATTCACACAGAGCACAAGACAGCACACAGAAAAGGTAAGTTGTGCTTTATAGTGTCAGATGTGAAAACGGTCAAAGATATCTGCATGGAAGAATCCACACACAAAGAGAAAATGGGTGGATCTGAGCACCAGTGGTGTCTACTAGCATTTAATTATTTTCCCTGGGCTCTCATTGTGCACCAGGAAACAGACCAGCATCGGTTTCCAGGGCTGGTATGGAACACATCAAGAATATGGAGTCTGACACGAATCCAAGTATCATAGGTTCAAGAATCATGGAATGTGTACAGAAATCTAATAAAAACCTTTCTGGATTGCTCCAAATATAAAATGAATATTTGTGTAAGAGCTGAAGCAGTACTATGGAGGGGTTATATGAAGAAAAATGTCATATTCTTGCAAACCCAAAAGCTATGCCAATTTTGTTTCCCTGGAGAAGTGATCTCCAGACGTACAATCCAGCAGCAAGTTCCCCTGTGCAGAAGTCACTGAAAGAAAGATGTTCAGGGCCAGAAAGGACACATTTCTCATGTATTCTTGAAGAATTCACTCTAGAAAACTTCTCAGTGGATTGTGACCCAATGAATTACCTGAAAATGATGTCTGGTGACATCACAGCTCAATAAGCTGAAAAATCAAAAACTAATGTCAAATATAAATTTGAATAATTTCAAATGAAAGTACATATAAGGCTTCTAATGTGAATCAAATTAAATGTAAGCACATGCATTATAATATGAGTCGAAATCCTTTGAACAATGTCTTTATAACACAATAGATTGGCTGACTTTCTTCATATTAAAAATAACCTTCCAGACCAAATAAAGTACATTCCAAGAGGGGTTGTCTAATTGTGGATGTCTGAAAATGTTTCAGATGTTTGAACTATGTCCTGATTGTTATTTTCAGAAATGATATATCCATGTTATCCTTTCTTCATTGTGAACTTACTGATTAACTTCCCAACAGATATCATGAAAACTTTTTTTAAAAAAAGCAAAGTTGTACAAGTACCAAAAAGTATTTATTCAAGACCATTGTAAAAATAATTCATTCTAAACAAATTGTAACAAACTTTGGTTAGTTTTTCCTAGTGGTGTCTCCAATTTAGCCTTACAAAATAAAAACTGGTTTGCATTAAACTTTTGCATATTTATAGAAACACACATAAAAACATCTCACATTCATTGGAGTTTAAAAAAACAAAACCTGCTTGGTATAAAATGCACCACTCTCTGTTTTTTAAAGAACTATGAACAAACTAACATTCATTTTCAAGGAAACCCTTGGGGAAAATGCTTTAGTCAAAATAGGTTTTGAATTTTAAATGTCAGTGTCTAATGTTGTAAATTCAAGAATAATCCTACTACTGTGTTATAGCAGTAAATTGGGTTCACATTATCTGACAACAGTGAGACAAACCTGGCTGTTGTTAACAAAGTCTAATCTATGAAAGAAGAGTTTGGATTTATACCCTGCCCTTCACAACCCAAATGTGTCTCAGAGCGGTTTACAAACTCTTTTCCCTTCCCCTCCCCACAACAGACACCCTGTGAGGTAGGTGGGGCTGAGAGAGCTCTTGACAGAAACTGCTCTTTTTCAAGAACAGCTCTTATCAGAGCTACGGCTTGCCCGAGGTCATCCACCCAGCTGCAAGTGGAGGAGTGGGGAATCAAACCCGGTTCTCCCAGATTAGAGTCCGCACACAACCACTACACCAGAAAGGGAGTATCTGAAATTTCACCAGCTTTAGATACGATACTGTGAATCAGGCACTAGGGGGTCAATTCTACAGCCTCTTAGGTTGCCTTTAGACATGACTGTACCTCTTGAGAGCACTACTGAAAACCCCATTGCTGAAAGGGAACTACAGAATGTAGTAACACTACAATGAACATAGAAAATTGCCTGATGCTGAGTCAGTCCCTGGTCTCCCTAGTTCAGAACTGTCTGTTCCACCTGGCAGCTGCTCACTAGGGACTGGTAGAGAAAGGGCTTCCCCAACACTCTGAGATTCTTTAACTGGAGCTGTCAGGGATTGGAATCTGGGACATTCTGCAGAGTAAATATGTGCTCTTCCTCAGCCTTTTCTCAACCTTTGGCTTCTGCCTTGTTCCAAATGTATTCCATGCATGCACAGCAATGCACAGCAATGCCAATGTTGGCAGCAGCAGTATGCATGGACTTCATATGATTGTGGGCTGTGATGTTCACAAGTGAATTAAAACCTAACCAGATCATAGTCCTGGGAAACAGGAGCCCAACCTGTGCCCTGGCTATTCATTAATGGGAACAGCACTTAAAATGGTGCGATACCACAGGTAAAGGCAACATAAAAGGCACAGAAACCAGTTCAGCTGGGAACATACACAGCACCATTTTTTTCCATCTCAAAGTCTATCTTGGTTCATTTCCTGTTCAAGAATAATTATTATTAGCAACAGAGTTAAATCTTGGGGCAGAGAGTATAATGAAAGAAATAACATTTCCCAGTGTGGAAAATGATGGGACAACTGAGAAAATTAACCCACACATGGACTTTTTAAATACTGCTGTTTGCCAGTGAACAACAATCAGTGCCCATCCAACATCAGGAAAGAATAGTGGTGGAATCCCATGGTAGTTAAGTTTGGTCCCTAAGTAGCAACCACTTAAGTAATAGAAAACCTCCTTAGCTGCTGTGTCTGAGCAGATTCTGTCCTAGAGCCATCCCCCATTTCTCAGATGAACCACCATTTTTCTCCAAGTATAGACTACAGTTCCCAGAAGACCTTCCTAAACCATGATTTCAACATGCAGCAGATTCCAGCATAACAGATTCCTGCAAGCTGTAGTTCTCTGAAGGCCATCCCTCTCAGTCCGCAAACCGCTGCAAGAGGTGATCCTCTCCACGGCGGGCACTGCTGTTCCCTCCACCAACAGCACTGTCCAGGAAGCGCTCACAAGGAAACTCAATGAGGTCAGCCTCATTTAAGGCACACACAGTGCTGCGGGGAGGACGGTGGGACTGGAAGCCAGAGAAGTCTGCAGAGACACCAGTGCCCATGGAGCGCAAGGGCCGACGGGTGGAGTACATCTGCCTAACATGTACCGGTGACGCTGCCTTCCTATGACGGCACCCGAGCACCTTCTTCCGCACCAGGCGGGAGGCCCAGGCTGCCAGGGCCAGAAACAGCAGCAGCGCATTCACTGCCAGCAGCACCAGGGTGAGAAACTGCTGGTCTGGGCCTCGGGCCCCACCCGCCACAGCAGCAGCCGCTCCCGCATCCTCTTCAGGCAAGGTGACCAGCCCCGCACAATGGTCCCGTGGCGCTACTGGGCAGACACGGCCCCCAACGATGCCCTCCACGCAGACCAAGTAAGGGGTATCAGGGCGCAGCTCCTGGAGTGTGGCCGTCGGTTCGCTCCATTCAGGGAGGTAAACAAAACGCTGGAACTTGACAGCAGCCCCAAAGCGGTCGAAGAGGATTCTGAAGCGCACGGGCCCCAGCAACCGAGGGCTACGATGCGGGCGGACCCCCCAGCGCACAGTCACTGCACTGGTGCTCACTGACTCCACCGACAGGTTGTACAGAAAGAGCTTGTTAAAATCACAGGGGTCAGTGACCAGTGGAGGGACAGCAGACACAGAAGAGACCAAGTGGTGTTTCCCTGCCCGCCTGGGCCAAGCACCACCGGGCAGGGGAGGGGGCCTGGTGCTGAGCAGCAAGCTGGATGTTGAGATGGTAGGACTAGTGTCAGTCCCCCAGCCGCCCCTTTCCGGCAGGAGGGCTAACATCTTCTGGGAGCCGACCGGCTGCGTGGTGGAGGCAGAGGGCAAAGAGCTCAGCCCCTCCGGCATCAAGCCTGGGCTGTAGCTGGCATTGACTTGAGAGGTTGGGGAAGGAGAGGCCACCGCTTCAGAACAAGAGCCATTGGGAGGAGGGAGGAGCTGGGAATCCTCCAGATAATCGAGATATTTCCCAGCCAGGGCAAGCGGCCTGCGACACTGCACAAAGACGGTCAGGAGCCGTCCCTGGGAATGCCAGGAACCCAGCCAGCGCTTCAGGCCTCGCAGGTGGCAATCACAGCTCCAGGAATTCCCGTCAAGTTCCAATCGGTAGAGAGCTGGGCTGGAGGCAAAAAGGTCCCCAGACACTGTGGCCAGGGCGTTTTCCTGCAAGCTGAGCTCCCGCAGCTTGTGCAGGTGGCCAAAGGCGGCAGGGTGAAGGCTCACAAGCAAGTTGTGGCTCAGGTCGAGTACTTCCAGGCTAGGCAAGGGGTGCAGCAATGCGGCAGGGAGCTGGCTCAGCAAATTGCCTTCCAAGCGCAATTCCTTGAGGGCCCCCAGCCCCGTGAAGGCCTCTGGCGCCAACCCAGCCAGGCGGTTCCCACTCATGGACAGCTTGGTCAAATTGGGCAAGTGTTGGAAAAGCCCTTTTGCCAACTGCTGTATGTTGTTGCCTGAGAGAAGAAGGGTGCTGAGCAAGCGCATAGGCCGGAAGGTGTCTGGGTGACGCAAGGAATCCTGCTGGTTGCCCGACATGTCCAGGAATCGCAGTTTGCCCAGTCCTGCAAACGCGTTGCGGCTCAGCCAGCGAATGTGGTTGGCCTCCAGGTGCAAGTAGACCAAGTTGGCCATCCCTGCAAAGGTGGCGTCACCCAGAGAGGCCAAGGCATTGCCGTCCAGGCGCAGTTTGACCAAACTGACCAGGCCCGCAAAAGAAGCCGTGCTGAGGTAACTAATCTCGTTGGCATTGACGTAGAGGATGCGCAGCTTGGCCAGGGGCCGGAGCGTGCCCGGGGCCAAGGCCGCCAGCAGGTTGTTGCCCAGGTAGAGCTCCTCCAGGCGCGCCAGGCGCTCGAAGGCCTTGGGGTGGAGCGTGCGGATGCGGTTGTACTGCAAGTCCAGGCGCTGCAGCGCCACCAGGCGGTGAAAGTCGAAGGCGGAGATGTTGGCGATGAAGTTCCCGCCGAGGCTGTAGGTGAGGATGTCGTGCGGCTCCAGGGCCTTGGGCACGGCCCGCAGCCCGCGGTTGGTGCAGAGGAGGTGCTGCTGCTGCTGGCAGTCGCATGGCTCGGGGCACAGGGGCGCCGCCGGCGGCACGACCGCAGCCAGGGAGCAGCAGCCCAGGAGCAGCAGCTGCATCAGGCGGACCAGGCGCGCCATCCCACCCGGGCGAGCGGCGGGCTGCTTCCCCGGCTCCAGCCGCGTCTCTCCGGCATCCCCCTCTCCTGCGCGGCGGCTGCGGATCGGCCTCCTCCTCCGGCTTTGGGGGGCGCGCTGCCTGCCCGGGCGCAGCTCGGCCGCTGCTGCAAAAGGCAAGACCC